AAGACAGAGAGAAAAGTACAAAAACAGAAATAAAATATTTTTTTCAAATAAAAAAACAACTATGCTACTGTGTATTTAATGTGCAATTTGGATTATTAATGTGCAATTAATAAGAATGAAGATTGGAAACATACCATCCTGCCATCTCCATACTGTGATTGTATGCTCTGGATCAACTCCTAGAGACACCAGAAGTTTGCCAGTTGCACTGAAGTTGACATAGTTCACTCCTTTAGAATGGAAGCAACGCAGCATAGAGAGAGTCTGCTTAGTCATTGCATCCCATATGTGAATAGACGGTGTGGTACCTAATTGTTTTTAATGAGGGAGAATTAAGAAAACATTATTTAAGTTTATAACTCTTCAAATGAAAGTACATCTTCTTAAAATAAGGCAATTATGCAGTACTATCAGGCTCTGTATCCTCAGGGTCACCTGAATAGTGCAAATGGGTGTGGAAGCTTCTTGGAACTGCTGAAAGGACTGTGTTGTAAAAAGGAAATAGATGGTGTCGTATCTGTTCTTTCAGTAATTCCAAGAAGATTCCACACCTATTCAATGACTCCCAGAAAGAGTGCTAACAACCAGATGACTGCAAGGAATAAAAATCCTTCCATTCCCCACCACTCAGTCACAACTGAAGAAGCTTCTTGGATGAGAAGGGAAATATCTTCAAGAGAAAACAAAGAAAGTCCAGTTGTCTTTTGAAATAGCACCTTTAGGACAACCATGATCTGGATGACTAAGACTCTCCATAGGCATTTATTGTTCTATACTTATAGACAAAATTCTCACAAACTGAAGCATCCTATTATTTACACCAGGGGTAGTCAACCTTGGCTCTTTTATGACTCGTGGACTTCAACTCCCAGAATTCCTGAGCCAGCTAAGCTGGCTCAGGAATTCTGGGAATTGAAGTCCACGAGTCATAAAAGAGCCAAGGTTGACTACCCCTGATTTATACCAAGCATATATTTTGAGACTATTATGGAGGAGCTGTCTTCACCCTCTTTTTCTCAGATAAACTATCTAATCTGAGTTACCTCTTACTCCTCTGGAATGCACCACCCCCTCCTGGGAATCTGGCCAGCTATATTCCAACACAAATATAGACAAAACATCAAAGGTAGTCCAGAATTATAACAATATGAAATGATAAATTGTAAGATAAAATGAAATATTTATGGATAAATGCACAAAGAAAGGGTTGATTTGTTGATGTTCATCTTGTATCTCTAAGTGACACAGATACAACAAATGAGCCTGAGAATGGTAACTGTATTGACAAGAACTCAAAAAGGAGAAATCCTTACCTGGAAATTCTGCCATATTACCTGCATGATGAGGGATATGACAAATATGGAAGCATCAGGGAAAAACAATAGCTGAAATAAGTTTAGATTTCTAATGCTGAAGTTCTCAACATCAGCACCAGAAAAAAATAGTTAAAAAACAATAACAATAACATGAGTATGGATATAAAAAACAAGCAAAAATATTGTTGAATTAGGTGTCCAATATAATGCTTGTAATAGAAAAAAAACAAGGTTTGTGCTGATGTATCCTATTATAGAAATAAGAATTCCAATGGAGATGCATATGGAACAGTGTTTACCGCTTCTATTTGCTCAAGAGTTAAGGACATTATTTTGAGAATAAGGATGATTCCCGCCCATCACCTCTTTTCTTAGTAATCAATTCCATTATTTTACTTAAACATATCAATCAATCAAATCAATAAAAGAAAACATTGGCACTCCCCTTAATGGTGGTCATACCAACCAGGGTTCCTATTTAACTGAAATGTATCCTATATTGTAAGAGTTTAATGAGAACAACTATTTGAGAAATATCTAGCATAGGGGACCTTATTAAGAGCTATTCAGAGTTTCAGATAGGCATCGTCACAAAAGCCTTTTCTGAATAATAGCTTAGAAACAGAGCCTGCTCTTTAAATTAATATTGTCAAACTTTATACCCATATTAATTACCACTCCTCAAATTTGTTAACAATTTTAGCAAAAATGCTAAATGAGCATTTTGCTAAATTTTAGCAAAAATGAGATGTTAGAAAAGGCTATATTTCAATGTAGATGCTTCTGCTTTACGTGATTTCTTTATATTGATTTATAATAAAGTCATACATTACTTCATTTGTTTCTTGTGTTTTTAATTAAGTAGATATTCAAAATAGCTTAACACTTAAACAGCACAACAAGAAGAAAAATTAGTAAATGTTCCACTGCCCAATTTCGCATTCCAACATGCAAACAGAGAATGAGTGCAGTTATTTAATTTTTTTTAGTTTAAACTCACTATGGACCTACCAATCTGGCTGGTGGCCACAATATTTTTATATTTTGGGTGTTGGTTGACTGTTAGGCAGAGGATGTCATCTGTATGTTCTAGATAGAAACTCTGACTTCCTGTGCAGTTCAAAACAAAAAAAAGATTCATTTCTAAATATCCAATAAACAGAAACTATAAAAACAGTACATTTTCAGATCAGTCTATTTCACAAAATCAATTCATCCAAGAGTGGTAATAGTAAATCCCATTTGTACAAAGTAACTGAAATGTAATGTAAAGACAATATTAGATTCTTAAAATAAAAAATTGCTTAAGGTTTTGCTAACCATCTGCTCATGCCAGACACCAATATACTTCCATCATTTCCTTAACAATTCAGTTCCAAAGCAGGACTGCGCTATACATTCATAAGAGGATTTCAGGCAAACAACTTGATAGATATTGTCATTGAGATGTGACAATACTAAACTACAATGGATCAATAATATCATCCAACATGATAGCAGATGAAAAGGAACATATACAGATAGTCCTCAAATTACAGCCACAGTTGGAACCAGAATTTCCATTACTAAGCAAGGCGACTACTAAGTGAGTCATGCCTAATTTTATGACCTTTTTTGCCACGGTTGTTAAACAAAATTGTTAACAGAATCACACGGTCATTAAATGAATTTGGTTTCCCCTATTGACTTTGCCTATCGGAAGCTGGCTGGGAAGGTAGCAAATGACTATCACATGACTCTGGGACACTGCAGCCACCATAAATACATGCCAAATCCCCCAATGAGGATTCATTGTAAGTCACCTTTTTCAGTACTGTTGTAACTTTGAATGGTCCATAAATGAAAGGTTGTAAGTTGTATCTATTTTGATTTTTATTCTGATCCCATAACTGATGCCTGATGCTTGCAGGCCATTCTGTTTGCTTCTATTACAAATACATACCCAATGCTGAAGAAAAGAATGAATGCTATTCTTGCAAGTGCTTTACGTATCCAAGGGAATGCACACAGTGCTTTCATCTGAAGACCTTGGCATTGAGTACCTAACCTGTCTGTTTTTCCAGCCAAGACAACTGGCAGAAATTATTATTTAATTTAATTACCTGTTGAGAGATTTTGAACTATGCATGCTGCTGCAGTATGGAAAATAATATCAGCACCATCATTGAGGTAATGAAGGTTATTGCGGCAATCAAATCCACGATATCCAAAGACGTGATCTAAGCACAGTTCCTAGAAATGGAAGGAAGGAAGAAAGGAAGGATATAGATACATTTAAGTGTATTCATTTTTGCAGATGAGGCATGCCATTGCTTAATAAAAATAGTTAAATTCTAAACAGTTTTAATGCAGCAAATATGTATAGGTATATGTAGAATGTGAACATGATAATTTGAATCAATAAACAAAGAAAGGCAAAGGCTATATTTTAAACCCCAGTTTAAAGATATAAACTTTCAAAGCATTAATTTCAAATATTTCCTTATGAAGCATATTTATATTACAATACAGGTAGCAGAATATCAGAAAAAATTGATTACTTAGATGACAATACTATGGTACATTAATTTACAACAGAATTTACTCTTCTGAAAATAAATTGTTCCTTGGTTGTATCATTCTGGCTACATCTTATATACTTATATTTATATAATTTACCTATATTTACCTTTACAGTATATACCTACATTTAATCCCATGTACCAGATATGGGATTAAATCTAATCCCATGTACCAGGCAACACAAGTATTAACAGGCTGTGCCAATTAACAGATTTGGGTAGCTCATTGACATACCAACATGCATGAAAACTGATAAAGTTTTAAAAACTATAAAATTGGTAAAGAATGGAGCAATAAGCAACAAATGAATTATTTGTAAAAATAATAAAGGCAGGATATAAATAAATAAATTAAAAATAAACCCATAATGGGGGGAGTATTAAAATATCAAAGTATTAAACCTGACCTCAACCACTTTCTTTTTTTTGTTGATATTATTCTTTTGCAGTTTCTCGGGTTGAGGAGCAGCTCTGCTGACTGGTGGCCTGAAAAAAAAGCATAACAAAATAATGAATAATCAATCACCTGTGAATGGAAAGAAATGCCTTTTATGGGTCATTCCTTATCTCTGAATTGATCTACCCATCCTTGAATCTGCTGGAAAATGTCCCAGTATGAAATATGTTCCTAGCATGTCCCCACTGCAGTCTCCTATCCTGCCTTAACTGATTCTCGTTCCTGTATTGTAGTTAACTGACTTCCCTCTCATTAACTAAGAAATTTAAGATCTGGAACATGCCTTCAGATGGGGTTAATATAATGGGGAAAATACAATTTTAATTTCAGTGCTGCTAGGGATGATTTAAACTGGTTTTACTCAGGGTTGAGAATGAGATGATGTCACCGGGACACAAGAGAAAAAGAATACTAACACTGGAGGCTTGTGGTCAGCGTTAAGTGTAAATAGGAATCATTCCTAGTAATTGGGGAATAGTAACAAGGTACATCCTTGGTGATATGAGCATCTGTGTCTGTATTGGTATTGTCAAGCATTTAGAATAGAATAACAGGATCATTGAATCTGAAATGAACTTGTAGATGTTCAAGCTATTCCAAATATTCAAAAACAGATCATGCCAGACAAATCTTATTTCATTCTTTGACAATGTGACAAAATTAATGGACCAGAGAAATGCTGTGGATGTAATTTACTTGGACTTCAGTAAGGCATTTGATAAAGTAGACCACAACCTACTACTAGATCAGATAGAAACCAATTTTGCTTAAAAACAGATTCCTTGTCACCTACTGTATGTGTCTTCTTGCAGTCCGAGAATGTTTTTTCCTCTAGGTACAATGTATTTTAAAATATGAGTCTGACTATTTGTTCCTGCCAAAAATGTACTTTACTTATGATTGTTTTGTTAGAAAGTAATATAAGCGACGTTTTCCAATTTGTATAAGTAACTTTTTAGGTTTGTGTGTAAGTATATTATATTTTAATAACGTTGAGAATTGCATGTCGGATCATAGTTGCCTTTCATATTATCTGAATTTCTACTGAAGGTTTTGAGGGATTTAGTCCTAAATTTTACAGCCATTGTTGCTACCACCTTATTTTGAAATTAAAGCCATGAAAATACTGATTAAGGATGGCAGGTCACTTATATCAGACGTCTCCAACCTTTCTCGGTTGGCGGACCGGAGGGAAAGGGAGGGGGAAACATTTTACATGCGCGCGCACACACAAATGGAACTGCAAGCACGCATGACGCAAATGAGGCGGTGCTAGCGCCCATGTGACACTCACTAGCGCCACCCCGTTTTCGCCACATGGTGCTCCATTTTCATCGTGCGGCACCGTTTTCACCACGCGGTGCCCCGTTTTCACATGTGCCCCCGTTTGCGTAGTGGTAGCACTAGCATGA